CGCCACGGAGAGAGGCCTGCGCTGAGAAATTGTTCTACAAATTAAATAAAACTAAGGCATTTTCTTTAATCCATTCTTTAAACCCAGCCGACGTTCGTATTTATCAAAGTGGAACCAATCAACATCAGGATGACAATTAAACGTTTTCATGGTGGTCTGTTTTATTCTGCTCAAAAACCTAATTTTAATTTTCAAAAAAAGAAATAAACTCGACAACGATGACAAATATATAAGTAAATAAATAAATAACGTAGTTGGCTCGTTTAACTTCTACTGCTTAGCGATAAATTTGAGAATGATGTAAATGTTTTGTCGTCTTTTTTGAGAGAATTAAATGTCACAATGGAATCAAAATAAAGCACAAGGAATTGAAAGCCAGTTTTTGTGAATAAACTCTGTTTTAGAAATTAATTTAGCTGCAAAAATAATATTAATAATTAAAAAAAACTACCAATAAGGGTCTTATACTGTGCCAGAGTTATCAATTTAAACAGCAACAAATGTAAATGATGAAAATCCAACGTGCAAAAGTAGATGTGGGTAAAAAAACGTCACATTTCCCAATTCGTGTTTCAACATTTTAAAGACGCCCTGACCTGCCTTTCACCTTCCCCTGCCAGTCCTTTAGACGGGTCAAAGCCGAGAGACTGACAACAAAGGGAACGATAAAGTCAGCGTTTCCTGCAGCTTGAGCTGCAGCAAAGGCCGGTCAGAGTGTCCGAACAGCTTTTCTATTATTCTCTACGCTTGTTCGGTCAGAAAGTGGTCACACAGCGTGTTGGACAGCAGAAACAGAATTGACTGAAAAATTTAAAAAAGCGAAATAAATCTCACGTTGTCGGTGAACTTTGCAATATTTCGTACTAATAGATCATTGATGAATAAATATAAATATAGACTATATATATATATATATATATATATATATATATATATATATATATATATATATATATATATAGGCTATATATATATATATATATATATATATATTTTTAATTCATTCATTGTGGGCCGTTCCCTTAAAATAAAAAAATATATATGTATAAATATATTAAATATAAATATAAAGGCATGACGGGCAAAATATAAATAAAAAACCGAAAATACTTTGGGGGGAAAAGTGACTCAAAATAACATCTGTTTGTCCCAATCCCAAATTTCTCCATGTCCTTATCTAGCAAAATGTAAGTTCATATCAAGACAGGCAAGTGAATTTCGACTTTTCAACACAACAAACAGAGAACATTAGATTTTCATCATAAAATCCAAAAAATACAGCTTAGCTTGGCTTCCCAAGCTGCTTTCCAACAGGGTGATTCGATCCAAAGTAAGAACACCAAGCCCAACATCCTCACTGCAGCTATAGCTGCGTTTGCTTCCAGCCCTGCGCAGCCCCAGCTTTTACAGACAGGAAACGGCTCCGTCTGAGCATTACGCATGTGACATCACACGCCCATATAGCACAATGATAAAACAGAGCTTACCACGGAGACCGCAACACATGGCGCACCGTGCGCCAAAAGCGCATCCACTCTGAAGGAGGATAAAATTCAGCCCGATGGAGCTTCTCTCTCTGTCTGTCATTGGGAACACTATTCCAGCCCATCTGGACGCGCTCACTAATACACAATGAGAATTATATTTTGGCTTGTCAAGTCCCAGGCCATAAAACAAACTTTAATGGCGTCACGTGCTTCCTCACAGCCATTCACAACGCCGCGCGGGCCCATAAATAATCCTCAAAGTTGCACTTACTCAATAATGCAGATTGCATTAATGTGAGCCGCAGGAGAGGAAAAGGAACAGAAATTAAGAACCAGAGTGGAGATAGAAAAATAAAAATAAAAATAAAAAATAAAAACAATACGACTTACTTAATTTCAAGTACAGGCCATTTAATTTTACAATCCTAATATCTAATCATTGATATTGATAATAATGCGAAATGATGGTTGCTAAATTACTTAATTTAATAATGGAGGTTTGTTTTATTCTTCATTCGAGCTTGGGTCTATGGTGAAGCTCCTGCCCTTTAATTTCCTTCTAAACAGTCTCTCAAGTGCATTTATTTCAGCCTGTCGCAAGGCTGATGTCATTCATTCTCCCTCCAATCTCTGACCGCAGCGCATATTTGCTCCTCCTATCACCTTCTGACCAACTGGAAGGACTCCAATCCTGCAGAATTGTGCTTACGTGCATGCACTGCTGTTTTAATTTCTGATTCGTTCCCTTACCTGTGGATTCTAATTATTACTCTAAACACGCTCTTTGACTTTTTAAGTCCATGTAAAATGCGTCACAATGCCTCTCTGTGAAAATAAGTTATATTTTAAAAGTAAATAAATAAAATCAATACAAACACAGCCTTTGTGCTTTCTATCTGCACAAAGAAGTGACCGCATGAGGTAAAATGAACCCACGTGGTTTTTGTAGATCTTGCATCACTCAAAACAGCAAAAGATCATCGGAAAACTCGGAAACTAACAAAACACATAAA